CCCTCTGCTGCCCTTTGGTGGAGCGGGCGAGCGAGAAACACTACTACCCCTGCTCACGCCTCTGCTGCGTTCCGCTCCCGCACTGCCTCGCCCGCGCGTTGGGTTTGCAGAACGTAAAATTGCAGCCGCTGTCCACAGCCAAGTAATTAAAACGCAATCACGCGGTAATTCGCGAAACTTGGTGCTGTTGGTTGGAGAATAAATGGGCTTGGCGGACGCGGCGGACGGTAGCTTGTCCTTGATTCGTTCGTTCGCCTCTCTTTGCCGGCCCCTCGGGTCCCCCGGGATCCCTCGCCAATGTCCCTCGCGATAAGCCGAATGAGAGCCGAGTCATGCATCAGGAAGGAAACACTGTCGAGAAAACGAAATCGACCCAGCACCGAGCACCTAAGCACGTCTGGCTGTTTCTGTTCGGCTCAAAGACTGCTCCAGACCCTTCGCGCGCACCGCCGCTCCACTTCGGCGAAACTGGGTTGAGATTTACTTGGCAGTGGGTCTCGCGATGTTGTTGCGACAGCTCGTTGTTTCTGCAGCGTCATTGAAAATCTGCATGATTCAGAGCGCCGCCGGGAGGTTCTCGTCCACTTTGGCACGGCTACGCCAGGGAGACACGGCGACGCCACGCGATGCCTGACTTGTCTGCCCGGCGGCGCTTCGGCTTGTCGTCATGTCTGTCGACTCTGTTTGGACGCCGCGGGTAAACCCCGTCCTCGGCGCAAGTTGCACACTGAATGCCTGAACACCCCCGGGGCCCTGGGGCCTTGCCTGAGGCCTTGCCTGAGGCCTTGCCTGAGGCCGACACACCGCTTCCTGCGCCTAGCCCGGTGGCCTGGAAGCCTGGCAGTGCCTCTCAGCCGCTTTTGCAATTAACTCGCGAAACAAAAGGCAAGGCCCTGGTTGGGCGGCCCACGGTAGTTAGTCGGCTGACGGAGATCGACTGTGCTAGGGAACTGTCTCGAGAGGAAGATCCCCACTTGGTCCTCACTGATCTGGATACCCTTGCGCAAAGTAACAAACAAGCAATTTCATTTTTAAAAGGGAAATATAATGAAACGGATTTCCTGCAAGAACGTTTCCCTTGCTTCCCGATTGGATGGCCACTGAGGCGTGGGGAGAAGGCTGTCGACGGGGGAATCGAACCCGGGCAATGAGCCGTCCAGCCGATACTGGTGGCCGCTGGGATGAAATAATTGTCCTGCCCTTATCTCTTCCGGGCGATCCCGGCCGGGCTGCCCTGGCGAAGCCTGATGAGAACACGAGCACGGTTCGAGGGACGAGGCGGGCTGGAGCGCCGGCCGCGCCAGCACTGCGTCCCCGGGAAGACCCATTTCAGAGCTGCGCAGTCCCCGTCCCCCTCACCCCGTTTCATCCATCCCTAGTCCCGGATCCCGTCACTTGCCTCAGAAGTGCTGAGCGTCTAGTTTCGGCCGGCTCTTGGTCACCGAGCCCGCCAGCGCCAGCGGCAGCAGCGGCGGCAGCCCGGACTCAAAGCTCCTCTCACAGGCTTCCTCGGACGCGAGGCCAGCCAATTGTTCGACGGAGCCCTGTTCGTTGACGCGGCGTCCGGGAGTTGCTGATCAGTTCCGACCAACATCACAACTTCCCAAATCAAGGAAGTGGATTCCACTGGACAAGCTTCACAGAAAATCACCGCTTGTTTCTGGCCTTTTGACTGGAATAAACGCCGTAATTCAGTCCTGTGCGTTCGACCTTGATTGCGCCCAACTCTCGGCATATCACGCCGCCTCCGGAACATGGCTCGTTTTTTCTCTCTCCCTCCCCATTCCGCTTCATTCTTTTTTGCCCGCTTCCGTCGTTTCCGGGACGTTCCGCCCGCGCGGCGGGGCGTTGGCCGCGCTGGGCCCTGCTGGGCCGCGAGGCGCGAGCCAGCGACCCTCCTGCCGCCAAAAGTTGTTAACGAACGGCCAACGCCGCGTTTCTCACGGCCGGGTGAACCTGCCCGGGGAGGCAGGGGGGGCCCCCATAAGCCAACCCCTGCGTCGTCACTTAGTGCCTCTGATGTACATTCTTCAGCCAGGACGTTGGCGCCTTAAGTCTGCAGGTCGCGACCTCAGAGGAATTTGCCGTGCCTGCGGTTCAACTTTCCAACAGCTTAATAGAGCCGCCCGGGTTTTGTTTTTTCCCTGCTTTGTTTTAACAGTTTGGCTTGTAATCATACCTTGTAAGCACAGTGAACGGAGGAAAAGAAACAAACCTTTTTTTGTGACACATAAAAACGGAAAATGTGTTGAAATTTGTGCTTTAATTGTAGCCGCGCAACGAGGCGAAGCGTGACACAAATGTTGAGAAAAATCCCCTCTTTTCATTTCGCCGTACTGTGTCGCCGCGTGCCGCCCTGCCCCCGGCGTGTACTGGTGGGTCGTTATTTCACCTGTCCGACCGGTCCGACCCGCAAACAACGCGACGCGCTGACCAAACATCCACCTTAAGCCCTGTTAGGGCTCGCAGAGCTAGCCGGGCTGGCGACGCTGGCGTCCCCTCCCGCGAGCAGCGAGCAGCGAGAGAAAGAGTGATGCTTGGTAGCGTCTCAGCCCCGGGTTCGAAACCACCTAGAGTCGACGGGGATATCCGATTCAGCATTGAAATCGGAGACCCGATACTCTTTTCACCAACAACTTGACCACCACGAACGGAACCCTTCCCAACAGCACTCGCTCACCCAACTTTCAGTAGACTTTTGTCCCTTTGCCTTCATGTGCAAAATTCACTCGCGAACCACCCGAGGACACAAAAAGTTTCGCCCCGCTTTTCAATTCCATCAGCCCTTCCCTCGCCGCCCCGTTTTACGGCGCGGCGTATTGATATGCGCAGCCATCGCACTCTTTGGCGGACATTGTGTGCGTTTTACGCGCTGCAGCGTGGCGGCCCTCGGAGCCTTTCTCGCTTTGCGCGTGGTATAGCGGCACACGCAGTCGCAAAGTTGATCCGGAATCGAAATGAAGTGCGGCGCGGTCTCTCTGCTGCCTCCGACTCTCGTCCTCTCAAACGCCTGGCGGGGTAGGCCAGCCCGCGACGCGCCGAGGCGTGGCGGCACGGCCCAGCCGTGGACGCACGGCGCTCCAGCCAACTTAATGGGATTGGGGGGGCTTGTCCGTACTCTTTCCGAGGGCCTCATGTGAAAGTGGTTCGGAAAACGTCTACGAAATGCCCGTAGTTGTTGCGAGGTACGGGCGAACCACGCTAAATTCTGATTAGGCGGACATGCTGCGCACTTTTCTGTACTTTTCCCTATCAGTGCCCGAAATGAGGCAGAGTCGGCTGTCTGCGAGACCCCTGCAGCCTTTCCCTTCTATCTAATCTGCATCCTATCCACCCAGCTTAACCTTGACGGAGGCTGCGCGTCTACAACGCATTAGGCATTCCCTCTCCGCGGCCCGTTTGAACCGCGAGCCGCGTTCGAATACGCAAGCCACGCGCGGGGCGTTTTGACTCGACGGCGTGCGAAGCGCGAGGCAGTGACAAAGGGATGCCACTCGGTCAAGGGCCACCGCCTCTTCGGTTCGAGTGCCTCTTCAGTCCTCGGCTTTGGTTCCATCATCATCGCGGCACTTCAGCGGGCCGGTCCCGGGCCGAGGTTCCGGAACAGGCGACACTCTCGCGTGACTTCTTCCCGAGTGGTTGCTCGAGTGTCCTAGAGAGTGAAACTGACGGTGGAAACGGCATAGTCGTTACACCCTGCAATAGAATGAACCCGAAGAAAAAGTATATTCCAATGCTTCCTCTAGGGCGAAAATGACAATTTTCCTGCACTATGGCCAGTTGGAGGTGAAACTGCTGCGGATATGTAGCTGCGACAACCGAGCGATGTTAACCCATTTTCCCTTTTGCAGTGTAGCAGCGTGCGCCGGCCGAATGTGCGAGGGCCTAGGGCGCAGGGCCTCTGGGCTGGACCAGCCAGCCCTTCTTCCTGCGCTCTTTTTGCCTCACCGTGCCGCTCTTCCTTATTGTTTTCGCTCTGGATAATTGATGCCCTCCCTTTTCCCCTCCCTCCCCTTCCTCGGCCCTCTCAATTATGCTCCGACGGAAGATGAGTGCTCGTATTTCGCTCCGTTAGAAAGCACGCCGAGTTTGTGTTATTACTGCCGACGTTTTCGTGCCCGTTTTGACTGTGGCGGGGCAAACAGCGAATCCTGGAAGGGGAAACGTTGTGGCAAGTCGCTTGTCTGGGTCCTTGGGTGTTTGTTGTCGAAAAGGGAAGGCGCTTCATGTTGGAATGGACCTGTATAAAGGGTTCTGCGTGAATTTCCGGCAGTCGTTTTGCGCATCGTTTTGGATGTGACTCTGCACCCTCAGATTCTTATGATGAAAGGGCCATCGTAACATACGTTGAAATGAGAACATACGTACTACAATCAAATTCATGCGTAATACGATGATATACATGCGTAATACAATGAAATTCATGCGTAATACGATGAAATTCATGCGTAATACGATGAAAAATTAAGCATAATACGTATGTGCAAATTTATGCGTACCTTACGATGAAAAACCATCGTAATACGTATAGAAACGATCATAAGATGTTGAGTGTGTGTAACTTGCGGCTATTGCGCAAGCGTCCCTTGTTGCCGCAAGATGGACTCGCGCTGGGGGATGGGGCTCGACGCGGTCCGACTCTCCATGTTCTCTGGGGATCGACTCTCGGCCTGCCCTTCGCCGAGTTCGCTGTTCCCGAAGTTAGCGAAACCAGTCGGTGCGGACACGAGTTGACGTCTGCGGTCACAGTTGGGGCTCCATGTCGGATTATGCCAAAAAAGCACATTAGCTGACGACCACTGTTGTTTAAAAACAGCAACCTCAACAGTGCGAAAATAAGAATGTGTGAAACCCGGCCTTGCGAGGCGAGTGATGAATGCCTCCCGGTCCAGCTAATAACCTGCCCGCCCTGAATGGGCGATGCCCCGGATGAATGAATCCACCGTTTTGTGAAGGAAAGCACGATGATTGATTTGCCCTTTTCTTTCTTCTGCCCACAGGTGAGAGGTCCAAGGTGCACGACTCCGGTTCCCACGAGCGACGTCATCGCTTCAGCAAACGATCAGGTCTCTGTCAACACTTTTCGCCCGTGGCGCTATTTCCCGGCCTTTGCCGTTTTGACGGCCTGTCAACTGGCCTCTGAGGTGACGGCGAAACGCTCCACACTGGGGGGTTGCAATCAAGAAGGCATTTGACGCCAGCGGTCCGTTTGCCTGCATTCCAGGGCCGGGCTGCCTCGGCTGTTTCGGCATCGCAGGGAGCGTGGCTGGAGCCCTTCGGGATCACCTTCCACCCTGTGTGTGTGGGGGGGGGGGGGGCACTGCGGAACTTCCTCCCCTTCTCCCTTTGCCTAAAACTTGGTCGGTATCTTTGATGCTGCTCCAGCTTCGCCTGGCTACAGAGAAAGTGTATGTGTGTGTGAGGGGGGAGCACCAGATCCCGGGTCCCCATCGGAGCCACCCCTCGTCACCAGAGCCATGTTGATGTAGGGCCATCTTCATATGGCCGCGCCCCCTGCCCGAGCCCCTGGCAGCGCCCCTGGCTCCATTCACGAGATGCGGCCAATATGGCTTTCCGCGACCGTGTTCGGGCAAGAGGGCCGCTCTGCCGCAGCGCGCCTACATGCGGGAACGGGGTCAACCTCAGTCCTCGGTCAGGTTCGCTATTTCGGTCCCTCCGCGTTTAGCCACCACTTTGATAAAGGCAGCGGAGCGGCCGAGATAAACTTAGCGGGAGCGGGCAGCCCTGCGGGAGTTTTCAAAAGTTGATCCGGGATTCTGCCATCGGTCCTCTCATCGAGCTGCGCGTGTGGTGGCCACCCCTTTGACGCTGGTGGAGTGTGTGCGGGTCAACGAGGCAAATGCAGTGGCTGCCTCCCAAAGCTGGGCCAGTCGGTGGTCCAGGCCTGCAGAAAAAGATATAAAAGGATCGGGTCAACTGCGCTCGCTGCGAGGCGCCGCGTTGGCTGGCGGCGTTCGGGGAAGAAACGTGCTTTGGTGCCACTCGGCGGATTCGCCTTCTGGCCGTGCCATCCGGTTCCTCCGCGGGGCTCCGCCTTGCAGACAAATGCAGCGAGATCCTTGCCAGTCTAATGAATTCTTCATCTCGCTCTCCCTCAAGTGGGGCGTGGCTGGCGTGGCGGTGCGTCGCAGAGTGGAGGGGGCGGGCCGCTTGGAGGAGTTGGTGGCTCGGTAGTAAACCGCCCTGTCCCGCAGCTGTTACGGTCACGTGACTTCCGGAACGACTTTTCGCTGCTGCACCGGTCAGGCACGCGCAGGGCTATGAGTTTTACGGCGGTTACAGAGGGCGGCTTCACCTGCGATGCGACGGCCGCTGTTTTCGGCCCATCGAACTCGAAGCGCGCACTGTGCTCGTAATGATGTGGTCCCGCGGTCACCGGAACTGGGTCACGGGGGCACAGACTCGAGTTAAAATTGGTTAATTGGCTCGTCAGGCCGTCGGACGACGGCACGATCGAATTGGAGCCGAGTGGGGCTGAGTGGCATGTGCCATTATCTCGAAATGTGCAGTGGGTGTGTGAGTGTCCTGTATGTGTGCTCGCTCGCGTACCACCCCTGCACAAAACAAAAGTAAAATCTATTTTAAATTGGCGCCTTCATATCATTGCGACACATGAGTGATTGTAACCTTTCAGCTCATCCGACATTCTGTTGGAGGAGAATCTATAACTCACTTCATCAATACCGTGCATTTCTTCTGTTTTCTCGGTGTTTTCCCTGCAGCCCCCCCCCCTCCCCCAAACGGCCCCGTTTTCATCCCCGCCTTTGACCCGGGGCTTGTTTGCACTGTCTCCGCGGCTCTTTCACTTCCACGGACAAAAAGGGGGAGGGGAGGGGGTCTGTGCAACTCAGCCGTGATGCGGGGCGACGTGGTGAGGGCTCCCGCCTCCTTCCCGTTCATTTCATTGGGTTCGCACCCCTCCTGATTTTCGAGCGCTGCCTGCACAGTCTGGCCCCCTTCTCGCCAAAGGAAGTGAGCGATAAAAAAAAGGAAAGGGATAATCCAGCCGCCGGCCAATAGGAGCAGCTCCCGGCAGGTTCTCTCTGGCACGGAGGTCCTCGTCCCAGACCGCCCGTTTATACGGCTTTCATTACCCTCTGAGGAACAGGCGGGTGGACGCGTAGCGTGCAGTTTTTCAGTTTCCCTAGTCCCCCCCTTAGACTTTATTGGTGATGATTCTGTTCCAACTACACCACATTAACGAAATGAGCGAAATCGGGCGTTAAATTATTGCGAGACTGAGTGGGCATCGTCGTGAACGGGCACCTCTTTTTCTCAGTCACCCCCAGTTAACAGCTGTTCTCCGTAATGCTTGCAATTGGCTTTCCCCGGGCCTTTTGCTCCGTCCTCCGGCTTCCAGCGGCGCGAACGGAACCGGGAATAAAAAGAACAACGGACGGCAAAAATAAGTAAAAAAACATGGCGACAGAGGGAAGCCGTTTCCACGGTTCAAATCCCCGCGTGTCGCGCTTTCTGCTGCGTCCATTTCGGAATTGGACCCGGCCAAACATTCATTCCGTCGCCGCGTCGCCGTTCCTCGTTGTTTTTCGCTCTTGCGACGCGTTCCCGGGGATCCTCGCTTCGCCAGGAGGTCCTGCAGGAGGTCCTGAGGAGGTCCTGGAGGAGGGCCTGTAGCAGGTCTGGTGGCGGGAGGCCCTGCCCGTGCCAGGTCCCCGGGGATGCCGACGTGCGGGTCGTCCCGACACATCTGCCGCGGCCACTTTTGCATGACGCCATCCACCGTGCCATCCGTCCCTGTTTGCCTTCCATCTGCGGGATAAACAGGACGCGGCGCTCCGCGGAAGGGCTTGGCCTTGGAACGGAAACGAAACAAACGTCGTTACGCTGAGTAAACTCGAAACTGGCGGAAACGAGCGTATCAGATTGTTTGGTGTTTTCCCACTGCCGTTAACTGAGTAGTTGCGAATGTGGAAGGCGCGCTCACTGCGGGGCGCTGCGGGGCGAGGCACGCGCCGCCCGGCACTCCGGAGCGCTGCGAGGTCAAGCCTTCGGGGACTGACACCTTTGCCACGTTACGGCCGGCGGGGCGACAGGCCGAGGCGGGCGCCGGGGGGAAGCACTCCCTCGGCGGGACCGTTGTCACTTCATTTGATGCGACTCCCGGGCCGCTGCCGCCAGCTGCCGCGCTGCCGCCGCCTCGCGGGGGACACCAAGCACAACACGAAAACACCGGCACGCCTTTTTTCCATTTCCCCTTCTTCCAACTCCCAGCTGGGCTCCTTTTGTGACGTGTTCATCCATGACCGGGTTTAGCGGTGGCGCTGCAAGATTGGCGGCGTATCGCATTAATCCTCCGCCGGTCCGCTCCGGGTCATCGGACGTGTCGCTATAAATAAAGCTTACGGTGGCGGGGCTGCAGTGGGCGGCGGCCGCGCTAGTGGGCCATCGTGGCTGTTGCTTGCCGTGTTGGCCGCGGAGCAGCCAGCCGTGCAGGTAGGCAGCCGTCCCCGCGGCGTGGCCGCCGTGTCCGCCGGGATGGCCTACCCTGGACTCGACAGGCGGACTCGCGGTGGCCGTCCGGGCCGGGCGGGGCGTCGCCGCACGGGGTAGCGCCGCGCTGCCTGGCCGCTGGCGCGCGGGGTATGGCCACGGCGGGCCCTACGCTACGCTGCAGGCGCTTCCGGCACCTGCGTGAGCCCCGCGCTCGCACCGCCAGCACCGCCAGGACGTCCGGCAGCGGCCACCACACTGTGGGCACGTGGCCGTTTAGTGTTTCCTGTGAGTGCGTCGGTGCGTCGTCCACCGAGGCCAGCTGCTGCCCCGGTGTTTGACATGTTGCTCGTCAGCTGGCGGCACGGTCGCAAGCCACACGAATTAAACGCGGTCCCAGATGGCGGCGCAGGGCCCAGCAGGGCCTACAACCCCTTAGCGAACAGGCAGGCAGACAGTGTGGTGGCTGGCTGTCACGCCGACTGGGCTCATGTGGATCCGCTGCTGCATCGAGGCGCTTGTCAGGGATATGGGCGTCAGGCGGCCCCGCTCACCTACGGGACACTCACTCACTCACTCACTCACTCACTCACTCACTCACTCACTCACTCACTCACTCACTCACTCACTGGTTCGTTATTGCAGTGCAGTGGCTCTGCTTGCGTCTCGCGTTAGTTCGATACGAAGAGGAATGCGTCGTCGACGTGTTGAGGCGACGGGCGCACTAACTCGAGGAACGGGTGGCTGCCTCGCAGGCGGGGCGAGACAGAGAGAGGGGGAGGGGGTGAAAAATCTCGAAAATTAACCTCTGGTAATTAATGGACCTTCCCTAATTTAGTTGGTTATTGAGGCTCGCGGGGCGGCGGGGCCGTGGGCCGCCCTCTCGCAGGCGCTCCGTCTTGTTTCGCCTTCGCCATCAAGCATGCTCTGCCGGGGCCTGCCTGGCCCTGTTCGTGTTCCCGTTCCTGGAGGCTACACTGGCAAACGCATCCCCCTCGACGATCGGTCTTTTGTCGGCCCCGCACCGTACTTTAGTGAACACGGCGAGGTGGAGTGGCCCAGGCAGGGCTTGGGTTGGTCAGAGCGGCTCGCAAACTCGAGTCAGTGTCAGCGACTTTGACGACGACGACGCGGCGAGTCTGATTTATAGCGGCGCGTTTGTCCCGGGGGAGGGGGAGGGGGAGGGGCTCCTTGTAGTTTATGGAGCATCCTGGCGGCGACTCGCTGGAGCCCCACGGCCCCATGGCCCCATCCATGACGTCCCCAACTTATCATTCAAATTAGTGCCTCGTTCCTATCAGCGCGGCAGTATACCACACCACGGCGGCGCGGCGCGTGTACAGTACAGTGTGGGCTAGGGCGGGGTTGCGTTGCCTCTGTGTGTGTGTGTGCGTGTGTGAGAGCGCTCGCCTAAGTGCGTCTGCACAAAGCGGGCGTATATAACACTCTTCAAACAAATTCATACATAACCATGCTCGAGCAAACCCCTTCGCGAAGCAGCAGCTCGCGCCACGCGAATCAACAGCTGCCGAGCGGAGACGGAGAGCGACTCCCGAGCAGAATGCAGCGCCCCGCCTCTCTCGCACCCCTTTCA